GCCGAGCAGGGAGCCCGATGCGGGACTCGATCCCGGGACTCCAGGATCATGACCTGAGCCGAAGGCAGTCGCCCAACCAACTGAGCCACCCAGGCGCCCACCTCTTGAGCTTCTTTACAGCATAGGGCAAGGCATACGTCAAGTACACACGTGGCTGTAAACTAAAGTCAAATAAGATGTAAATTTGACATCTTGTCATTCCATTTATACTAGAAACAAGGAGACAACCTGGACTTCGCATTCTTCTGTATCACTCACTACCATCAACCTAGAATGAAGTACACTCTAGGTGTACAGTCCTCACCAGACATACCAACACAGTCACACCGGTAACCCCGTGTGCTGAGTGCATGCTCTCTACCTGGCGCTTGCATACCTTCTCTCTAACCCCCACAGCCTTGCGAGGTAGGCGTTTCACATATGAAGAATCTGACTCTGAAAGAAGTTACGTAACTTAATGTGCCTGCACTAAGACAACCAGTAAGTGGCAGGGCCGACGTTTACAGCCACTTATAAGTGAAAAGCCTGTGCACGATTCCCTCCTCATTACTGCGCAACACTGGAGTGTGGATATCTGTGTTATCACCTCAGATCCTTCTACAGATAACAGTCTTGAGAGTGTGTATATATGTTGCACTAGTCTAAAGATAAGGGTATTCTGAGATTTCTTAAAAAAAAACAAAAAACTTTCCAAAGGCTTGAGGTTATCTGGGTTTATGCATGCTCTCAACATCTCCTGCTAAAAATGCCCCAATTCCATCATTGCCTCATCAGTTCATGCGTGGTCTACTTAAAGGACAGGAATAAAAATCAGCCCTTCATCAGCTTGGAGAAGGGGTAACAGACTGGCTTCAAGTCTGTAGGAACCTGTCTCTTATTAGACGTCCATCCTGGCTTTTGTTCACACATAGGGTCATTAAAAAGTATATCCCCCTTCCCATGTACAGGATTTTGCCTGCAAGATCCCATTAGTGCTAATGGGTCATTTTAACTTGCATCACCTCCAGGATCAAAAGGAGAAGCTGCATCTTTGATGAAGGGCTAATGCTACATGGGGCTCAGGCCACTTAAGGGTTTCCTTTGTTCTCTTCATAGGCCAACCCACCAGGGGACTTTAGACCACCATCTACTATACGAAGAGTTTATAAAGACAGTATTAAGTGGTGGTGCTAAGTGCAGCCTCAGTAATGAAAATTAGAATGCATTCCCTACTTATAAATCACAATCTCATCCACCTTAGTGTAGGATTGAGGCTTGTATCCTGCACTACTTGAATCAATATTTTCTGCTCTTTAATAACACAAGGGAAAGATTACTACTTCTTTTCAGTAATCTCTGAGAAGTTGTTTGGGCGCATATGTTTGCCAAGAGGAAAAAAACAGGATTGTGGCAGGAAGTGGGGAAAGGAAGTAAGTAAGCTCTTTAGAATTAGGTCTCGCTGTGTGTTGCCTTAGCATTCTTTCTTTCTTGATTCCTTTCTACTGTGACCTCAGTCCATCAGGTGGCTGACAATGTGTATTGAGTGCCCATTGTGCTTGTCCCCCAGTATGAGGCACTGGGGGAGAATGTGAAACAAATAGAGACACAGTCTGTCTCTTCCAGGAGGTTACAATTGGAAAGAGGAAGGGTGGTTAGCAAACATGTAGTGTCCCATACATAACTTTCAGTATGAGTTCTACCTCCAAAAAGCCCAAAGCAGTGCCGAGAATTCTTCACTTAACCCCCTCTGATCTCTAACACAACATCCATTAGGCCTGGAGGAGAGCTGAAATTTTCTAACAAATTCAGTTCAACAAATGAATGGAGGGAGCCTCTCCTTGCATTGATGTGTGATGTGTAACAGTGTAAATCTCTGCCCAGAATCTCAGATGTGCAAGAAAGGTAACTCTCTATTTTTCTGTAACTCATCTTGGTTTCCAGTTTGAGTTCTGATTCTTTGAGTTAGTGAAAATGTAATCTGAGGGCACCTGGGTGGCTCAGTCGTTAAGCGTCTGCCTTCGGATCAGGTCATGATCTTAGGGTCCTGGGATCGAGCCCTGCATCAGGCTCCCTGCTCAGCGGGAAGCCTGCTTCTCCCTTACCCACTCCCTCTGCTTGTGTTCCTTCTTTCACTGTGTCTCTCTCTGTCAAATAAATAAAATCTTTAAAAAAAAAAAAGAAAAGAAAATGTAATCTCAGGCAATTTTAGTTTCCTTATTTCCCTGAGATTGTGTCTAAATTATTTGTGGGGGTGGGGGGGACTTCACTGTACCAATCTTTGGGGAGATAGAGATTACACAGGAGCTGGTCTCGAGTATTCTATATTTATAACTTAGGTGCCCACTAAATTGCCAGCATCTTCATTCTCGTGTGCATGACCCATTAAGGTCATTCTTTTTCTGTTTGTTTCTGTGAAACTCTGGGAATTGTGGTGCTCCCATACGACAGCTGGAATATGGGAAGTTCTGTGAGGCTGCCTAAGTTCCTAGCATGTCTAAATCTACCAGGCACTCATGTTTTCCCAAGGATTTCACTGTTGCCTCTGGGTTCTCTTGAGGAGGTGCACACAAATCAATGTCATTCTCTAAACTTACCTAAAGTTTTGACCTCCACCGGGGCTCAGCCCTCAAATTAGAGCACAGTGTCCGCTTTTTGGTATTCATCGATGACAATGCTCACATTTCTTTTCCTCCAGTTTTCTCTCCTGCTTGCCTCATGAGGGGCAGGAAAGATTTATTCTTCTCATGTAGTTGCCTGTATATTCTATCTCTTTCATTTCTTTAAGAGTCTTGGCTTTTAAGACTTAAATGCAGAAAGATAATTTGGTATCTTTGGTTTTTGATTCTTATCCTTTCTCTGAGATAATGAAAACACAATGACTTTAAATTTAAGTGAGAGGAAAAGACCATGGAGAAAAAGGAAATAGCGTGAAAAAAACGAGATATTTCAAAAATAGTATCCCATCTCAGATGAAAACCATCCTATTCTTTAATATTAAGAATATAGTTAGTAGGGCGCCTGGGTGGCTCAGTTGGTTAAGCGACTGCCTTCGGCTCAGGTCATGGTCCTGGAGTCCCTGGATCGAGTCCCGCATCAGGCTCCCTGCTCAGCAGGGAGTCTGCTTCTCCCTCTCCCGCTCCTCCCTCTTGTGCTCTCTCTCTCTCTCTGACTCTCTGTCTCAAATAAATAAATAAAATCTTAAAAAAAAAAAAGAATATAGTTAGTAGTCAAAGATGTTTTATTTAAGAGGGGAAGTAAACACATTCAGTCCCTTCCGTATAAATTATGTAGGACCAGTGTCATCCTAGTGTAATACCTAGAGCTTTAGTTAATAGGTCAGGGACCTAAGTTCTCAGTTTCTGGGGCTAAATGACTTTAAGCAACTCACTTTACTCCTCAGTACAATTCAGGACTGTTATATCTGTGGTTTGATTTCAGCCTACTTAAAATCTAGTAGGTTAGCTTATCACTGTTTCGCGGATGCTGGCAGAAGACAGAAGCTTTCTGGGTCAGAGACCAAGAACTTTATTACTCATGACTCAACAAACAGGATGAGCATTCACTTGGGTATCAGTTCTCCTTTATCCCAAGTCCCATGAAGACAACACAGAGGGACCCAGAGAAACATTAGGAATGTAGGAGTTTTGTGTTACATTGGGGCAAAGGCATCAGGTGGTATGAAAGTTAGGATGGTTGAAGTGAGAGAGAAAATTCAACTGACAATGAAAGTTCAGAAAAGTAGATAGCTCAATAGAGTATGTTAGCAGAGCTTTTAAACAGGAACATATATTATGGAATGTGGGGGTTACCCTCCATATCTTCTGCATTGATTGTTTACTGAAGTCAGTGAATTACATCTACTCAGTGCCATACAGATATGGCAGATAATCTTTGATAGGAAATGAAACATAATCAAACATGGATTGCAATATTTCTTTTAAGTAGTGGCCCATGAAGTTGGGAAATCTCACACCTAGAGACATGAAATGACAAAGCAGAGCAAAGTGTTCCATTAGAAACTGCAATAAAGGGGCGCCTGGGTGGCTCAGTCGGTTAAGCGTCTGCCTTCGGCTCAGGTCATGATCCCGGGGTCCTGGGATCGAGCCCCGCGTTGGGCTCCTTGCTCTGCGGGAAGCCTGCTTCTCCCTCTCCCTCTGCTATTCCCCCTGCTTGTGTTCCCTCTCTCTCTCTCTCTCTCTGTCAAATAAATAAATAAAATCTTTAAAAAAAAAAAAGAAACTGCAATAAAATTAGAAAAAAAAAATAACTTGTTAACAGATCCCAGAGCAGTATAAAGAATTCACAGTGGTATAACTTCACCTAAAAAAAAAAGAAAAATCTGAAAAAGGATGTACTATTCAGATATGTGCAGACTATTACGGGAGTCCGTTAGTGAATAGGATAAGTACAAGTAAGGATAATGGGCTTAAGCCTAATATAAAAGATAATTGTGGACCCTAGAGAGAATTTGTTGAGCTTCTGATGAACTGAAAGACCCAGAGTTCTCTAAGCAGAAGGTTGATTATCTACTTCCTATTTTTACTGTAGTGGATATTTCCTATATTTATTTTATCTGATTTAATTCTCATGAAAACCTATAGAACAGATTTTATCATTCGTATTTTAGAAATGAGGTTTCTAATGATCAGAGAAACTGAAAAAAAAAAGTTAAAAGCCGTAGAGTTGGTAAACAACCAGGCTTGGATTTCAGTGCAAGGATATGCAACTCCATGGCCCATATTCCTTTCACTTGGGTACACTGTATTGAGCTTATTCAATTCTCTGTGGAAACAGCTTCTAGAAATGTCTTTGAGTGCTGATATATTACCCAAACACTTCCGTGTTTTACACTTTTAGGAAGATATCTAATTATAAGTTGACTTTTTTAAATTAATGAAATATAAACCAAACTGTTTTTTTTTTTTTTTCTGACCTACTGTATGTTTAAAGGAATGACAAGTTACTTTTGTGACCAAAACTTTGATCTTCCCACAGGTGACTTGTATATAGGAGGAGTGGCTAAAGAAACATACAAATCTTTGCCGAAACTTGTCCATGCCAAGGAGGGCTTTCAAGGCTGCTTGGCATCAGTTGATTTAAACGGACGACTTCCAGACCTCATCTCAGATGCTCTTTTCTGCAATGGACAGATTGAGAGAGGATGTGAAGGTACTAGATCTTTGTTAATCAAACTCTAAGTAATTCTAATTCCACCCATAAATAAGAACAAATCTCTCCAGTCAGCAAAACTTATTTCTGCCTACTGTTCAAGCCCCAACATAGGGCTTAGAAATCCTTATTTGTGTTTTTCACTTTTCATCCCATAAATCCTAAATTTTCTGGACTGTTTGCAAACCTACAATAAGGCCTTGTGTAAGATGGGGCTCTGTGTATGGATCTTGTTATTTTCTGCTCCTTTGTATTCGATAGTCTGCCTAATTAGTGTATTAGTCAGTTCTGCAATGCCTGCTTTATAACATTAAATAGATACCCTCTTTGGACTAAAAAAGTAGATTTGCTCCAGTAAGTGTCAATCAACTTGATACTGCTTGTTTCAAATCTACATTCAGCAAGATATAACAGGACAGTAAAGTTCAGGTACGCATTGTCACATCACTATTTGGTTTGTATCTACCTGGCACTAGTTTCTTCTGTATATCATCAGTTTGTTTTAGCAAAAATTGGTTTCTTCTATTACCCAAGACTAATATTCCTTACTTGAGAAATGTGCTCAAGTATCTTTCTGTTCTTTTGTGCTCTCTATCAGACTAAGATCTGTAGGAGTACTTTTTGATTGCTACTTTCATTTTAGATAATTTTCATTTCAACACCTCAGATTATTTGAGCCAATTCTCCCTCCAGAAATGTAATTTAATCACATTATCCTGAATTCTGGGGCTCTGAATGTGTTGCTCCTTCTCCTTTAATGTTGAAAACAGTTTGGGCTATTTTGAAAATTTTAGATTCATAAGGAAATTTCATATGGGAGAGGCAAAGAAAGATATGCGAATTCCTATCCCCCAGGAGATTATGAATCATCTCTCCTGGGCCAAAATAATGCCATTAGATTTAGCAATTACCTAAGTATGTGGAGGGTTTTTTTTAATTTGAAAATACATTTTTTTCTCTCTGCGATATATATTCCTCTGAAAAGTCAGGTGAAATTCAAACTGTGTTTTAATCCTGCCAGAAGATAATGCTATTTAATAGAAGCCTCTGTTGAATTTTTTTTAATGTTACTGCTATATTTATTTTCTTTATTTCAATTTTGGTATAACACTTGTAAAACAAAGAGAAATTGTTTTCTCCAGTTTACCAAAGGAAACAGGATCATTAAGTGAATAATTCCTTCTACTGGGTGGATATAAGAATGTGGTTCATAACTTGGATTTTTGGAGGTGATCTAACCAGTGAGAATATGTACATTAAAAAAAGAGAAAAAAAGTACTACAAACTCCTGACTATTTTTTTTTTTTCAAAAATAGGCCTTTCTACAAGTTGCTTGGTAAATGACTTCTCACCTACAAGGAGATGTTAGGAGCAGACAGACACGTTCACAGCTAAACACCCACTAGATGGAAAACAAAACGCACACACATGACCCCCCACCACGGGCACATAGGTGATGTGTGTGGGTGGGTAGAAGGGAAAACTAATGAGGGGAAGCTGTACTAAGAAGAGAATATTTGCGGAAATGATACTTGGTTTTATTTTCTAACATAATCTATTAAGCAACTTGGTTAAGATGATTATACATCCTCTTGGGTAACAAGCTATTATTTGAACATCTGAAATTGTTCAGTAGGTTATGACATTGGTTCCTTCCTTACCTTATCTAGGATGCTTTAATATCTGAGCTTTAATAATTCTTAGCTCTTTTTAACCCCCTTTTTTTTATTCTTAGAATGTTACCATGTCCCTGCCTTTCTGCATTGACACTTCCCTGATTTTTCCATTCCAACATCAAGATTAACAACTTTTAATTTATGATTATTTCTATCCTCTGCAATTCCTAAGAATAATCTCAGATATACCTGTCATAGGTGTAATTGATGAGGTACATATGTTTTTAGGAGTAATGATCAAATTCTAGACGATTGGTCAATTCTCTCTCTAAAGATAGTTGTCTCATGGAGTTTTAAATCCAAATCACATTGGAATCACCTAACTTTTATATTAATAGAAATACTGTAAATGTGACAATAACCAAATGATATCTTTCAAGATTTTCCCTCATTCCTATCCAACAAGACCCACAAATCTTCAAGCCCCTTTCATGTAAAAAGTTCATGGTCTTTCCTAATAACCACTTGCTGCCTTCCATTTTTAACTAACTGCATTGGCTAATAGCTGCTTATAACACACTAGTGAGGAGAGGAGGAAGCTTGCCTTGTCCAAGTCCCTTCAGATGAATGTTTCTCAAACTTGAACCAGTATCAGAATCCCCTGGAGAATTGTTAAAACCCAAATTACAGAACACTACCCCCAGGGTGGCTGCTTCAGCAGGACCCTAAAATTTACGTTTCTAACATGTTCCTACAATGATGCTATTACTATTGTTTCAAGGGCCACACTTTGAAAATCACTGATAGGGTAGCATTTTCCTGCTTGCGTAAGAGAAAATAGAGACTGGTAATCCACCAGTAATCAGGCTTAGTTAAGCTCAATACCGAGTCAAGATAACTTTCGTACATGAAGTCAAGGGGAAAAATTAATTCAGACACTCTTTGCATAGTCTCCTACTATTCAGCCCCAGAACTATTATAAGTTACAGAAATACTTAATTATTAAAGCTACCATTGATTTAGCATTGGTGACAATAAGTTTACATATGCTTTTTCACTGAATCCTCAAAACTATGTAAATTAGGCAGTGCTGACTTTTTTTAGATGAGTAAATTGAGCCTCGGAGATGTAAGGTGACCTTTCTAAGGTCACACAGCTCGTATGTGGATGATGGAAGCTTTGAACCCAAGTTTGCCATACTTGAAAGTCCAGGCATCAAAACGCTTTCCTCTCTTGCTTCTTTGGTTTCCAGAGATTTTAGTTTTACCTTCACTTCTTTTCTTTTCCAGACATATCCTTATACTTAACCACTTAATACAAATGTCCTTGTGGTTTGTTCCCAATTTTATTCAGTGATAAACTAAAAGGAACATTACATAACTAAAGGGAAAATAAATTCAGGGCTTTGTCTTGCGCAAATGCCTGTCAGTGTTTAAATATTGTTCTTAGAAGGTGAGTATTTTGAAAAATGTGTCTTGTCAGGCATAGGCATACATTCTCTTGTAATACCTGAATATAAAAAGACTGTTGTGATAATGAAAAAATAATAATAATAAAGCATGTCTTTATGCTCACATAAAGGTTTGGCAGGTACTCTGAGTTGCTGTTCTACCATATGGGCACATTCATCTCCAGGATTGTAGTTCTACCATTTTTAGAATTTAGTATTATGTTGCGATTGTGTTTCTGATAATTTTTACAAAAATAAAAGTAAAAACGATAATCTGGCTCTTTATCCGTTCCTGTTCCTGCTCTTACCTTCTTCTGGGCAAGTAAGGGAGCAGCCTCAGATTGATAGCCAGCCCCCGACCCACACGGGGCATGCACCATTCCCTGCTCCTCTACTTGTCCCAGGAGAGAATGTGCAAAGGAGTATTGCTTTAAGAGTTGTTTGTTGTTTTGTTTTGTTTTTCCAAACAAAAATTATTTTCAGTCTCTAATGTCGTGGGATAAAGATCATTAGACCACCTACCTCTCACAGATTGGAGGAACCACCAAAACTAAGCAGCTTAGTGGTTCTTAGTTCTTTGATGAGATAGGTGAGAAAAATGGTGACCTCCATTCAGGGCTTCCAGGCCTGGGAAATTATTATTAATAATAACAACTATTATTATCATTGCCATTAGTATACCTATTACTGCCGTTATTACATAATTAGTTCTTACAATGTTATGGTTTCTTAATTTGTGAAAACTCACATAGGTTAGGCTAAATTCAACAACTTTCTATGAGGAATACCTTTACTGAGAAAATTGTAATAGAAATACCGTTGTAGCGAGCATGTTTAAAAAGACACTTCACGAAAATGTCAATTTACACAAAGGCTAATTACAGGTAGTTCTCATTTATTCACTAAAGCAGTTACCTCACAGGCTCTCAGTGTTAATAGAATCTAATTGGGCCAGTATCGTTTTTATGTTTCTGTAAAACCTATAAAGTTGTGTTGACTAGGAAATATCTTCAGTGTTTTACTCTAAAGCTATTTAGATGGAGGGCTTTCCCTTTTTAACCTTCCCTAAGATAGTCCTTATTAGTGAAGTTCTATTGTAATAAATATTCACAGGGCAGTTTAGAAGAGTTGAAGGGAATTTTGAAGGTGGGGAAAATGCTGACAAAACTCTGAAACCCTTAAGTGGTGTAGGCCCAGCCTGGTAAGAACAAAGGTAAACACTCCACACTGAAAGCTTTTAGAGGGATTTTTTTTTTTTTTTAAGTGGAATGGTATTGCAGTCTGCTTTTTCCATCCCTTACTTGTCTCATCCGCCCTGAATGATATATATAGTACATTTTGATAGTCTGGTGTCACTCTCAAGTCCAGCTGTTGGCAGTGAATGGCTGGCATCACAGTTTCAAGCCTTAATTGCAATAGCAAAATAAAAAGATGTAGAGGGAAAGAGAAATGGAAAGGGATAATTGGTCTGCTAATGACCATGGTCTACACTGTATGTGCACAGGACAAATGGTGTCACATGCTCCAAATAAGTAACGTGATCACTTTGGTAATGCACTCATATCTATCCAAGAGAGGAAAAAATACAAAAGCTCTTTTGATTTCTTCCATTACACGTCATCGGCTCAATTAATCATTATATATGTATATATACACACACACACATATATAGTAAAATTCTAGTAAATTACCGCTTTCTCATTTTCGGCTTCTCTTAAGATTTATGGCTGTTAGTATTAATTTGTTTGCTCTACATAGCATTTTTTTCTCCCCCCTTTACAACAGCATGCTTTTTGAATCTGAACGTTCTTCTGTGTTTGCCCCATTTTGGTATTGCTTACTAACATTTAATATATTTTGCTTTTTTTTTTTTTTTTATTTTGCTGACAAAGTTGCATTGATGAAAGCTGACTTGCAAGGTAGATAGCCCTGTGTGTAAAAAACAAGACTGAAACCCCCTAATACACAGTGGAAACCCCAAAATAACATTTTTTTTTTTTACATTTTTGCAGTAACTGTTGTTTGGGTTCAGATTTAATTTTTCCCCTTCTTGAGCATTGTGCAAGAAACCTCATTTTATAGCATAGTTTGCATAAAGGCTTTCAGTCTTGAATATGTTTGTATAGTGATTGCCTCTAGTGCTTTGATCATCTTTTTTTTTTTTTTTTAGTTCTTTGTTTCTCAGTGTTCTAGTTATGATTCTTTAGAAATAGACTAGAATTCTTTTCACTCGTGTGTTAAATGGGGGCATGTCATTTATACAGACTTTTTCATTTTATGTTTAACTGCATGAATTGTTAAAGCATGTGAATTGATACTTGCCAACATACCTATCTAAAACACCCAACAACCATAACTTTATCCATAGTTTGTGCAGGGAAACTTCTGGAAACTTTTAGGGTATTTTCGCATAACTCTTTTCAGTTACTTTGCCAATCTTTATCTCAATTTCATGAAGCTCTAATTTCCATTCTCATGGTGTCTCTATTCATTGGTCAGAAGTTAAGGAGATCCATGCATTTTTCTAAAATCCAAATGGTGATAGAGAATTACTGATGATGGAATGAGATTACTTGCTACCATGATCGTACTAGAAGCTATGTGCTTGCTTTTACTATTTGTTGTTTACTATTATAATGTATTCTGTCCTATATTTGAAACTTCAGAAAACCTTCCTATTACAGCTTCTCTGTCGCTAATTCAGGTGTGTGAACTAGAACTTTCAACACTGGTTTGGTCGTGTAATTTGAGATGTTGGCAACTACTATATGTGACCTAGCTCATGTACAAAACACTTGTAGATTTTTTTTAAGGAACCCAAGTTTCTTTTGGGTTAATTTTGCAGGACCCAGCACAACCTGCCAAGAGGACTCCTGTTCTAATCAAGGTGTGTGCTTACAGCAGTGGGATGGCTTCAGCTGCGACTGTAGCATGACTTCCTTCAGTGGGCCACTCTGCAATGACCGTAAGTGCCTCTCTGAGTATGGACTCAGATGGTCATCATTGCTTCCAGTTACTGTGTGATGCCCAGAGTCTAAAACTAGGAGTCTTTGTATTATCTGTAAGTTAAACTGTCACAGTGAGAAGAAGCAGTTATTTCTACAGAAAGGGCATTTTTGAAATACTAAAGGATTAATCAAGGATGCCGTTAGCTAAATGCTGTGATGGTGGTGAGCCTTGGGTTTGCAACTGTTGACTGTAATTTTTTGAATTGCTAATGGTCACCTTGTTGAAAATATCTTTTTTCATTTCCTACATATGACAGTCCTCCACTGGTTTTCAAAAGAGATTTCTTACTGCTTTCTATTAAATAATATTTAATTCCAAAAGATTATATGTTGAGGGCTGTAATTTTCGTGAAAGGTGACATGTCTCATTATGCCTCTCTTTCTGTATCTTTTTAAACCCATATCTGCCTTTTGCTTTAAAAAACAATGTTTAAACTTTGTCCTTCAAGTACTCTCTCTTATATTCTAGCCACTTTGGGTTTTTTTTCCCTTTAGTCTCACAATATAAGCATGACTCAGAAACACAGCATTCATATTATATCATGGAATATCTGTTAGTGCCTAATCTATATGGTAGCAGTGAGAATTTTAAGACTGAATTAACTGGTATATAAGATAAAGTCCTATTTCTTAACTTTCAAATAGATTATGCTTTACAGCAATGCATCAGCATGGTAAAAGCATTTTCTACAAAACAACAAATTCCACTATATTAAGAACATTCTTCTGACAAAGCTTCCTGCTTGTGAAACAGAGTGCATAATTTATATTATAAATGGTACAACATTTAAGGAAAAGCTCTAGGATGGAGGATGCAATGATTGAAGTTTTGGGCTTTGGGACAAAGGCTGGGCTTGAGTATGGATTAAAAGGAAGATTAGAGTTTGTTCACTTTGATCTTTGTCTATTTGAGACTCTATTTACTCCAGTATGTATGCATATGGCAATGTTGAAGATGAGATCAAACTAAAATATTCTATTGAACTGAGTTTAGGAATATGGTACAACTCACTAGCTATTTTCAGAATTTCTCTTCAAAATATTGAATACAGGTATAATGAGCAATTATTACAAAGTAAAATATTGGAAGAGACCAGTAAAAATCACACTACCACAGATGGTGAAATATTTTGTCTCCATCCTACCAGCAACATCTTCCATAGAATTACAGCAGACTTGAAGCATGAACATGTATTCAAACCATCATACATTTGCACAAACAATAACCCCAGTTGGAGTTGTATAAATAATCTTAAGTGAAGGCTCAGTAAATACTTTATGTACTTCTGTGCACCTAAAGCAAAGAAAATAAAAAGCCTTATATATGCTTTTAATATATGTACATATGTGTCCTGAATAGTAACTTCCTGCTTTTGCTCCTGCCCCATAGAAAATAACAGAAATTTATTTTCAAGGGCAACCAGAAGACTGATAATTTGTTATGATTTTATTATGGTAAATTTTTAATCCTGAATATGATCCTGACAGATGTATGACTACATGTGGTAGCTGAGAGAGTTTTTATTGCATGAAAATGTTTTCCATTTTGCTAAAGAAATTTCTCTGCCAAACTTTGCTTCATCTAGTTTCCATGTTTTATAAAATAGTTGCCATTTGGTTGTGTCAGATTGTGTATTCTCATATACCACTTAAGTTTGAAGAATATAATTTTCTGTGCGTATTTGCTAGACATTTCCTAACGGAACATCAAGATCCTACCTTAAGTATCATGCTGTCTTCACATCATTTTTACAGAAAATTATTTGAATGCTGCTCTTGGGTGATAGCAGTGGTGATGATAATGATAAGGCTATTTGTTATTTTCTTGTAAATAAGGTAAATGTCATTCAATAAATGTGTCTCCTGATATGCCTCTTGCACAAATCAGCATTAAAATTACTTTGGAGGGCTCCCAGAATACATACATTTTGATTAAATCATTACCTCTTAATGGGTTTTCTGGAAGTGGGAAATGGTTTCTTGGTTTGTGTGTGGAGTTTTGGTGGTGAGGATATGTAGGTATAAATCAATATTTAAAAGCAAATCTTATTTTCATATCAACTTTAATTTGTAGAAAGTACAACAGTGACTGTTACCTTTGTTAAAAGGTAAACTGAAGCATATTAAAAATTTTAAGAGTCTATTTGAGCAAAAACTGATTCAAATCGGGCAGCATCCAATCTAGCTGATACAAAGAAGCTCCAGGGAGCTGTACGAAATGAAAGAATTATAGGCAGAAGGGAGCAGGGACAAGGAGGCTATACTATACAAAAAAAAAAGCAGCCTAGTTATTGAAAAGTTACTTTGCTTTAGGGAATGGCAGGGGTCTGTGAGGCAGGTTACCTAACTATTGCTGATCGGGAGATTCCTGATTGACTGGTTTATGGGGGAGCCAAAACTGTAATTAAATTAAGTCTTGGTTTGGAGACATGGGGCTTAGCATAAATGACTCCATTCTGGGCCTGTTGTCTTTTTCTTTCTTTCTTTCTTTCTTTTTTTTTTTTTTTTAATACCTTGAAGACATGCCATTGATATGACAATAAGAATAGGATGCCGTATTTTCTTCAGTTGTTAAATTCATTAAAATAAGCCTTATTTTTCTGCATCTCCCTATTTTTCTGAGTTGCACAAAGAGAATTAATGTGATTCCTGGGATTTTCACAAACTTCTTTTCTATATAGAGATTGACTTTTTTTTTTAAATAAAGCCATTTAGGGGGCGCCTGGGTGGCTCAGTTGGTTAAGCGACTGCCTTCGGCTCAGGTCATGATCCTGGAGTCCCGGGATCGAGTCCCGCATCGGGCTCCCT